CCTAACCTCAACATCTGAGTAAAGGGATTTAGGGGTAATTATTTCAGATGACTTAAATGTAGGCAAACAATGTAATAGAGCAGCAGGAAATGCTAGCATAATGCTTGGTTGTATAGGGAGAGGTATTAGCAGTAGAAAGAGGGAAGTGCTCATGCCATTGTACAGAACACTGGTGAGACCTCACTTGGAGTATCGTACGCAGTACTGGAGACTGTATCTCCAGAAGGATATTGATACTTTAGAAAGAGTTCAAGGAATGGCTACTAAACTGGTTCATGGATTGCAGGATAAAACTTACCAGGAAAGGTTAAAGGATCTTAATATGTATAGCTTAGAGGAAGGGTGAGACAGAGGGGATATGATAGAAACATTTAAATACATAAAGGGAATCAACACAGTAAAGGAGGAGACTATATTTAAAAGAAGAAAAACTACCACAACAAGAGGACATAATCTTAAATTAGAGGGGCAAAGGTTTAAAAAATTATATCAGGAAATATTACTTTACTGAGAGGGTAGTGGATGCATGGAATAACCTTCCAGCTAAAGTGGTAGAGGCTAACACAGTGAAGGAGTTAAAACATTAGAGCCTAGGGATAACTTCACGGGCCACTCCTCAGATGGCTACTAGAGTTCCTTCTTGGGGCAGTTCTGCCAAGTGTGCAGCACTGCCATTCAGTATATCCACCCTCTGTATGCAGACACTGAACTTTCCTCATAGAGATGCATTGATTCAATTAATCTTAAGAACCTTTTGATTTATTCTGTTTGCTAATCTATCTTCTTCCATAATATAATTATTCACTGATTAATGTATTATGCTGGATTTAAAACCAAATTTACAACATTTGTTACAAAATTTCCAATACAGGACTGTTGCTGAGATGGAAACATGTAAAAATAAATGCTTTCTTTTGCATGGGAACCATTTCAGTTCCAATTTTACAATGAGCGTCATAATATTATGACTTTCTTCAATTATATTATTAGTCATGAAACTGATATTTGTATCAATCTCAGCCTGTCTTGGATGACATGTTGTTGTCATCCTTCTTCATGTTATTAGACATATTGCTGGGTTGAGTTGATATTGTCAATGCAGCTGAAAGCCTGGTGTATCATATATACTCATTAAAATGATTGTTGAAATCAGGACTGTCAATCAACTTTCCATAAATAGCATGCAGAAAATTAAAGCGTACATTCATGGCTGCACTGCTAATAAAATGTATTCACTGCTCTAAATTGACTTGTAAACCTGAACAGGATCCAATGTATAAGCAAAATATGTGGATATTTTTTGCTTATTTGCTCCCTTCAAATAAACAGTTTTTTTTTACTTGTACAACAGGCATCTCTAACTCTCCCACACCTCCCATGTTCCTGAACTACAACTCCCATGATTTAAAGGTTAAAGGGACTTATGTACAGTTCCAAGAAAAAGTATGTAAACCCTTTGGAATGATATGGATTTCTGCACAAAATGGTCATAAAATGTGATCTGATCATCATCTAAGTCACAACAATAGACAATCACAGTCTTCTTAAACTAATAACACACAAAGAATGAAATGTTGCCATGTTTTTATTGAACACACCATGTAAACATTCACAGTGCAGGTGGGAAAAGTATGTGAACCTCTAGACTAATGACATCCCCAAGAGCTAATTGGAGTGAGATGTCAGCCAACTGGAGTCCAATCAATGAGATGAGATTGGAGGTGTTGGTTACAGCTGCCTAGAGTGTCAGCTAAAGACTTACAAAAGTCACTGGCAAATGCTAACATCCCTGTTAGCGAATCTACAATACGTAAAACACTAAACAAGAATGCATTTCATGGGAGGATACCACAGAGGAAGCCACTACTGTCCAAACAAAACATTGCTGCACGTTTACAGTTTGCACAAGAGCACCTGGATGTTCCACAGCAGTACTGGCTAAATATTCTGTGGACAGATGAAACCAAAGTTGAGTTGTTTGGAAGAAACACACAACACTATCATCATGGTTTGGGGCTGCTTTGCTGCGTCAGGGCCTGGACGGATTGCTATCATCGAAGGAAAAATGAATTCCTAAGTTTATCAAGACATTTTGCAGGAGAACTTAAGGCCATCTGTCTACCAGCTGAAGCTTAACAGAAGATGGGTGTTGCAACAGGACAATGACCCAAAGCATAGAAGTAAATCAACAACAGAATGGCTTAAACAGAAGAAAATACGCCTTCTGAAGTGGCCCAGTCAGAGTCCTGACCTCAACCTGATTGAGATGCTGTGGCATGACCTCAAGAAAGCGATTCACAACAGACATCCCAAGAATATTGCTGAACTGAAACAGTTCTGTAAAGAGTAATGGTCAAGAATTACTCCTGACCGTAGTGCACGTCTGATCTGCAACTACAGGAAACATTTGGTTGAAGTTATTGCTGCCAAAGGAGGTTCAACCAGTTATTAAATCCAAGGGTTCACATACTTTTTCCACCTGCACTGTGAATGTTTACATGGTGTGTTCAATAACAACATGGTAACATTTCATTCTTTGTGTGTTATTAGTTTAAGCAGACTGTGATTGTCTATTGTTGGGACTTAGATGATGATCAGATCACATTTTATGACCAATATGTGCAGAAATCCATATCATTCCAAAGGGTTCACATACTTTTTCTTGCAACTGTATAGCTTGGAGGAAAGACAAGACAGGGTGGATATGATAGAAACATTTAAATACATAAAGGGAATCAGTACAGGAGGAGACTATATTTAAAAGAAGAAAAACTACCAGAACAAGAGGACATAGTCTTAAATTAGAGGGGCAAATGTTTAACAATAATATCAGTAAGTATTACTTTACTGAGAGGGTAGTGGATGCATGGAATAGCCTTCCAGCTGAAGTGGTAGAGGTTAACACAGTAAAGGAGTTTAAGCATGCGTGGGATATCCATAAGGCTATCCTAACTATAAGATAAGCCAGGGACTAATGAAAGTATTTAGAAAATTGGGCAGACTAGATGGGCCGAATGGTTCTTATCTGCCGTCACATTCTATGTTTCTATGTTTCTAATGAATAGGATTATTATAAAAAACATTTTCTACTCTGCAACATACACATACAGAACCCCTCCCCTCACACACACAGCACTCCTCACACACACACAGCATTCCCCACACACACAGCATCACCCCAATCAAACAAATTACTCCTCACACACAGCACCCCCACCACCAGGGCCAGACGGGGGAAAAAATTCGGCCCGGGCATTTTTTATTCACAGCGGCCCACTGAAAAGGGGGCGGGGCCAGATAGGGTGTGTTTTGTCATCCCCAATGACAAGCACGCCCCATCTCAAAGTGAGCATGTTGGTTCAATGCTCTTCCAGGGCATGAGAAAAGGGCCCTGTATTTGATCTGTACAGCGCAAGCAAATTTAATAACATACTTGTGTTGTGTTTCCTTGAAACTTGTCCCAGGGGTTTCCATAATTGGAATACTCACTGTATCCCATTTATGGAGACACTATGTGTTTGCTTAAATGGAATCTACTGTGTTCATAGGCGATCCTGAGTGTGTATGTCAGAAATGTAGTGTGAGTGTAGGTGGTGCAGCATCTGTGTGTAGGGGATCTAGTGTGTGTGTGTGTGAGTGGTGCAGCATGTTTGGGGGCTGCTGTGTGTGTGAGGGGTGTAGTGTGCATTTGTGAGGAGTATAGTGTGTGTGGGAGGGTGCTGTGTGTGTGTGTTGGGGTGCAGTATGTGTTAGGGTGCTGTGTGAGGGTTCTGTGTATTTGAGTGTGCTGTGTGAGTGATTGTGCTGTGTGTGTGTTAGGATGCTGTGTGTTAGGGTACTGTGTGTGTGCTAGGTTGCTGCATGTGTTAGGGTGCTGTGTATGTGTTAGGGTGATGTGTCAATGTTAGGGTGCTGGTGTTAGGGTGCTGGGTGAGGGTGCTGTGTGAGTGTTAGGGTGCTGTGTATGTGTTAGGGTGATGTGTGTGTGTTAGGGTGCTGTGTGTGTATTAGGGTGCTGTGTGTGTGTTAGGGTGCTGGTGTTAGGGTGCTGTGTGAGTGTTAGGGTGCTGGGTGAGGGTGCTGTGTGTGTTTGCAAGGATTGTGTATTGGGGGGGAGGCAGGTAAATGCCAGTATTAAGTCTTTTTTTTTTTTTTATTAGAAAAATAAATACATTATATCCCCTCCATTCTCACCTGTAGCCTGGAAGGGGGTGGGGGGGTTGTGCTGCTGCCAGCCATCCCTGGTGGTCCTCGTGGTAAGTGAACTCTAGCCCTTTGGTTGTCATGGCAACGGTCCGGATCTCGCGAGAGAAACCCGGCAGAGCTGCAAGTTAGAGCTCCACTGGGTCCTCTCTCCAGGCTGGCTGTCTCCCTCCCTCTCTCCCCGCCGGTGGCCGGGTTTGAGAGCATGTGGGCACTTCATGGAACACAGCGGGCCCTGCATAGACCAGCTGGATCTCCCTGGCCTCGGCCTGTGGCCATCATGGCCCACCGGGCCTGCCCACCACACACACACAGCACTCCTGACAAACACAGAGCACCTCTCACACACACAAAGCAACTCTCACACACAGCCACCCCACACACACACAGCACTCCTTACACACACAGCACCCCCACACACATACAACACTCCTCACACACAGCACTTCTCAGACACACATAGCAAACCCCTCACACATAGAGAACCCTTTGCACACAGCACCCCACACACATACACACACTGAGCACCCGTACACACAAACATATTCACTGCACCCCTTAATGCAGTATGTGTATGTGTGTGTATTCAGCGGACTGTGTGTGTGTTCAGCAGTCTGTGTGTGTGTGTGTATGTATTCAGCAAAATGTGTGTATATATTCAGCGGACTGTGTGTATGTATTCAGCAGTCGGTGTGTACTCAGCAGTCTGTGTGTACTCATTATTCTATGTGTGTGTGTATTCAGCAGTCTCTCTGTATGTTTATTCAACAGTTTGTGTATTCAGTAAACTGTGTGTACTTATGTTTGTGTACGAGTATTCAGCCAACTGTGTGCATGTATTCAGCAGACTGTGTGCATGTATTCAGCCGACTGTGTGCATGTATTCAGCAGACTGTGTGCATGTATTCAGCAGTCTGTCTGTGTGTACTCAGCAGTCTGTCTATGTATGTATTCAGCAGTCTGTGTGTGTATTTAGCAGTTTGTGTGTGCATTTAGCAGTCTGTGTGTGTATTTAGCAGTCTGTGTGTGTGTATTCAGCAGTCGGTGTGTGTATGTGTTCAGCAGTCTGTGACTGTATTCAGCAGTCTGTGTGTATGTATTGTATGTATGTATTGCATGTGTTGGAGATACTAATAAATTTAAGCTTAATTTTATCTATAGCGAAATTTTTTATTTCTGTGAGTTGTGTGTAGGCAGGGACCAGTGCACTGCTTTGCCCAGGTGCCCATCTAGTTGTTAAGATGGCCCTGGTAGCGTGCCCCTGTGTCCCAGATTGCCCGAGACAGTCCTGCATTTTGAGAGTTTGTCCCAGGTCTCGGAATGAGCTGAGCTGCATCGCTGCCACTGCTGCAGTGGCGGATCCAAGGGGGGCAATGGGGCAATTGCCCCTCCCAAGAAATTAGTGCAGCTCCCATAGGGGAACTACCTCATCAGTGGCCCGGTTGGGTGCTGCAGCCCTTTGGCAGACCGGACCCCTTTAATGTTGCGTGTTGTGTGTGTGTCTGTCCTCGTGTGTGTCTGTGTGCGCATGACTGTCTGCCTGTGTGTGTGCGCATGTGACTGTCTGCCTGTGTGTGTGCGAGTGACTGTCTGCCTGTGTGTGTGTGACTGCCTGCCTCTGTGCGTGTGGCTGTCTTCCTGTGTGTGTGGATGTGGCTGTCTGCCTGCGTGTATGTGTGTGGGTTTCTGCCTGTGTGTGTATGTGGCTGTCTGCCTGTGTGTATATATGTGGCTGCCTGTGTGTGTGGCTGTCTGCCTGCATGTATGTGTGTGGCTGTCTGCGTGTGTGTTTGGGTTTCTGCCTGTGTGTGTGTGACTGCCTGTGTGCATGTATGTGGCTGCCTGTGTGTGTGGCTGTCTGCCTGTGTGTGTGTGTGGCTGTGTGTGTGTGATGGTCTGCATGTAAGTATGTGTGTGTAAGACTGTATGTGTGGTTGTGTGTGTGTGTGTGTGTATGTGTAAAACTGTATGTGTGGCTGTGTGTGTGTGGCTGTCTGCCTGTAATTGTGTGTGAGTGTGTTTATCTACCTGTAACTGTGTTTGTGTGTTACTGCCTTTACCTGGATGTTTCTGCCTGATCATGTGTATGCAACTATGTGCATGTGGTGGATTTGACAGTGTATATGTATAACTGTGTGCATCTGACTGTGGGAATGTGTGCACATAACTCTGCAAAAATATACACCTGCATTCACACACAGGCCTAAATGCATGTTTTTATCTGAATTAAATAACCATCACACACAGCCAATAAACCCAGCACAAATATCACATAAAACCAATACACGCATATCACACACTGTTAATACACCCATTACAAATATCACACACAGCTATCACATAGCATATATATCACACACAGTCATCACATATATCACATACACAGACAACACAAACATTACATATTACATGGATGACGGGGGGTGCTGTGAAGATTTTTCGCACAGGGCGCCTAAAGGCCTAAGGCCAGCCCTGTATGTGTGTATTTGTGTGTGCCAGTGAGTATCTGTGTGTATATGTGTGTATCTGTGAGTATCAGTGTATATATGTGAATGTATGTGTATCTGTGAGTGTCAGTGTATATATGTGAGTGTATGTGTATCTGTGAGTGTCCATGTATATATGTGAGTGTATGTGTATCTGTGAGTATGTGTGTGTCAGTGTGTGTGTATATGTGAGTGTCTGTGTATCTGTGAGTGTCTATCTGTGAGTGTCAGTGTGAATCTATGTGTGTGTGTGTCAGTGTGTGTGTATCTGTGAGCGGCTGCGCTGTCAGCTGAGCCACCGGCACCATATAGCCTGTGAGGATACTTCTCCTACCTTTAACGCTCACTCCGCCCCTTGAGCGTTATGCCGTCCCCTGCATGGACCGCATGTGCGTTCCACCAGTGAATGACGCATGCGGTCCATCTACCACCACGTGACGCGGCTTCATCCACTTCCGCGTCACGTGATGTTTTTATTTATACGATTTCTAATTGAAAATTCACTTGTTTTCAACTTCTTTTACTACCAATATGTTCCATATTTTATATCCTATTGTAATATATTTATATTTTATATTTTTTTACACTCTGTACTGTTTTCCCTCCCATGACGATTGGTGACGTCATTTTGGCGGGAATTTTAAATTATTTCTGTATTCTAATGTTCCCTATATAAGTCCTATATGTTAGGTCTGTTTTCTTTCTTTGTATATTGTTTCTACTTGATGAAGCCTATTGTGGCGAAACGCGTATAGAAATTTTTTTCATTTTTAATAATCAAAGTGTCATTAAAGGAATATCTGGCTATTTTACACTGGTTTGCCACATTCCTCTTTTCACTTTTATATTATTTGCTATTATATTTTATGTAAGTTTATTTTATTCAGACCTAACTACCATTGACCCTGACCACATTGGACAACCAAAGAATCCTCAAGGTGGGGATTATACCACCCATACGCTATCCACCGAGCAGTACGTCTGCTCTATTTACCGTGAGTATATTTCATTGAATTTTATCGTCTTATTCACTATTCAGTGAGCACTATATTTTTTATTATTTTTATCCCGAGTTGGACTCCATCTGTTTACCAAAGGACCAAAAGAGGAGCACCACATATCCTTGAGTGGGGATCATTCCACTTCACGCTATCCATACCAGAGCTGGATTTAAGCTCTGAATATTGTGAGTAGTTCCACAAATATTTACAAAATATCCATATTTTGTTTTTATACTACACCATTGGAGTTTTTCTCTCTCTTCTGCTCTTCTCGCATATCTCATTCAGGACGTTACATACCCTTCTGATGGACTACTAGGACCACTATTTGCACATTTGGACATTTTATATTTGGACTATTAGGTACCGTGATTATTCCATTCATATATTATATTTGGACACTTTTTTGGACTTTTTGCTACTGCTGCTATTCCCATATTATTATTTTATCATTTCCACTTGTTTTAGGCGCATCCTTATATATTTGAGTGTATGTGTATCTGTGAGTGTCAGTGTGCGTCTGTGAGTATGTGTGTGTGTAAGTAGCCAGTTAATGTTTGCAGAAATACTGAAAAATGCACTGGCAGATATGTTTTTGCCAGTCTTAAGTACAAATTTGAGGAAATGCACTCGTGAAAGTAAGTGTCCCTTAATGGCAGTTAGGAAATGTGGACACCCTAGTCGCCGGGGGGAGCAAAATAGGCACCAGCCTGCCCAAAACAGCAGGTGCATACTCTGCTTTCATATCGTTGGTGGGTGGGATGGAAGGCCAGGAATGTATCTTCTACGAGGCACACAAGGCATTTGCCTTGAGCGGCACTTTGCAGGGGGCGTCAAAAAAAGCCGCCCCAAACACCAAGCTGTCCGGCTGGCCACTTTTGAGCCCCCCTGAGGTGGGAGGCGGGCAGCGAGGGAGCATGCTCACCTGAGCTCTTCCTGCTCAGCTCCTTCGCGTGCCACTTAATGAAGCCGGGAGCCGGAATATGACGTCACTCCGGCTGCCAGCATCACTAAGCAGTGCGGGAGGGAGCTAAGCAGGAAGAGCTCAGGTGAGCATGCTCTCTCGCCGCCTACTCTGCTTGTCCGCCCCCTGCCTGCCTGCCCAGCAGCCCCACCGGACTGCAGGTAAGTAATCCCCGCCACCTCTGCCAGGGAGGCTGGGTGGATTTTAATTAAAATTAAATCAAAAATAATAATTTGTGATTGTTGATAGAAATGTGTGTGTCTGTAAGTGTGTATGTATGTGTGTGTGTCTAAGTGAATGTGTGTGTCTGTGAGTGAATGTGTATGTGCCAGTGAATGTGTGTGTGTCGGTCAGTGAATGTGTGTGTGTCGGTCAGTGAGTGCGTGCGTCTGCAAGTGGGTGTGTCTGCCAGTCAGAGTGTGCGTCTGTCAGTGAGAGTGTGCGTCTGTCAGTGAGTGTGAGTCTTTGCCTTTGGTAAGTGTTTTATTATTTTAACAGTGTGACCGCAGCGATCAGATGCGGCCACGCTGTATGGAGGCGCTGGGGACGTGACACATACAGTACAAATTAGCCCATTCATGTACAATACATTTATAATGCTACCTGAATCTGCATTCACTGTTTCAGGCTTGATACATGAAGATCCACCCTTTGTTGGTGCTATATTTATCAGGAATAATTTTCCTATTTTTAAAATATTCATATTTGCAGTGTAACAGAGTGTTGGGGATGGTGGTCAGGGGTGTATATCTGGCACCCAGACTTTTGCACAGCCACTATCCTGACATGTGGGTAAGCACATGCAGCCCCAGGGAAAGTTAAGTTTAAATGTAGTTTTTTTTCCTCTGTTGTTATTTGGGTCCCTGGGGTGGAGTATTCGGAAGAGCAGGGTGGGACGATTCTCCACCCACTGTCAGAGTGGCTGTGCATGAGTCCTGCCCAGGCTTTCCATAGAGTTCTGGCTCACTGCCTAACGAGGTCATTAGCCTCACCTGTAGGGGCTGTGAGCAGCTATATAACTGCAGTTAAAGCAGGGTGAAGTGAGGGAAGTGTTTTGGAGGAGAAAGAAAGTGTTTTGTGGAGAAAGAAGATTTGCTGTTCATTGTATCCTGTTACTTCACAACAACAGAAAATAAACAGGCCAGAGGCCCTTTTGAAACTGGACTTTGTCTTGACCTGGTTTTCTTACCCTAGAGGGCTGTGCGGTTGCCAAAAGATCCTGGACAAACACACACAGGAAAGTAAGTTTGTCACATATGGTGGAGAATGCGGGCACTGCACTAAAGAAGCCTGTGGGTATTAACTGGAAGCCAAACAAGCCTGTAGAAATATGGAGGAAGTTGTGAAAGTCTTGTTGCAAACTACAGCTGCACAGCAAAAGGCTACAGCCGTACAGCAGGAGGCTACAGCTGCACAACAGGAAAATATTACAGCCCTACAGCAACTGGTAATTACGCAAAAGGCCAACACAGATGCTTTGATCCAGCAGGTTATGGCAGCCCAAGCTGAGGCAAACCGCCTGCTCAGAGAGGAGCAACATCAGGCCACCAGTATGATAC